TTAGTGAATTCCAGAGCACTAAAATATCTTGTATCAAAGAGAAAGTGAATGACACCGAGGATGACCTGCGGATGTCTTCTGGCCTACACAGGCACAGGTGCCTGCACCTACACCCTCTGCCTCACAGAGTATGCGCCAGCCATGCCTCGGCAAATATATACTGAGACACAGGAACCCAAACAAGGAGCGTGCAGCTGTGTTCGGAGTTAAACCCAGAGCGCAGAGTGTAAACCTGCCAGCGCTCTCGACCGTGGCCAAAAATTTCCATTTCTGGCGCATCATGAACACCTACCTGGGGCACTCCGTTCAGCAAAAATCCAGAAAATACTACCTAGGAGGGAAATGGCACTTCCTTACTGGTAGCTCCTGTGTTAGACGTCTCTGAGGTAGAATCAGCTCCCATGGGGAGATTCCTCACTCAGTTCCAACTGTGACCACTAGCTCATCTTTTTTATTTGACTATTTGGTGGTCATAAGGCCACTGACTGAAGCAGGTCCCCCACACTCCCCTATGGCCTGCCAGCAACTGCGGCTTGTATTCCTAAGCAGGAAGTTCCACCTGCAAGCTTTCTTTGGAGAGTGGGATACAAAGTTTCTATCAATGCCTAACAAGAATTAAAAAAACAAACAGACACAGGCACCCAGAATCATGTCCTTTGATAAACAGTTAAGGAACAGCTCAGCTTATTTTCCGTAGAAGACGCCCTGTTATCAGTAGTTCCAGAACAACGCTTCTGGGAGTGGAGCTGGCTTCCTTCAAGATCAGGGTGCATCTGAATTAGTCCTTGTCAAAGACAGACACACAGCCTGGGGACAGAGAAAGGGGTGGCAGCAGATGAATTAAGGAACTCAAAGGAGTTTCGACAATCTGATTTATGCTGATTAAGAAAATCCTTGTCCAAGAGAGCAATGGAGCCACCCGGCCTTTCTGGGCAATGGTGACGCTGCAGCCCACAGCTCCCAGAGACACCGTACAGGCTCTGTAAACTGTTCTTGGGAAAACCAAGACAAAAATGGATAGTATTCTCAGTGTGCTCCATTCTAATTGTGGTTATAATGAACGTTATAGAGAAAAACACTCAAATAAAGCAGACAGTGGTGGCACATGCCTTTAATCCCAGCATTCGGGAGGCAGAGGCAAGCGAATCTCTGTGAGTTCAAGGCCAGCCTAATTCAAGAGCTAGTTCCAGGACGGGCTCCAAAGCTACAGAGAAACTCTGTCTCGAAAAACAAACAAAACAAAATAAACAAACAGAACAAAAAAACCACTCAATCTCTTCCTTCCCCAGCAAGCTGGGTTTTTAATAGCCACTTTCTTCAGGTTCTCTAGGACTCTATGATGTCGCCCAGAGTAGAGCAGTTTCTAGAGCTCTTTACAATTGATTCCTCCTCTTGCTTTCTTGCTGCAGGACTCCCCTTACAGAGCTGTATCTTCTGAGAACAGTACACAGCATAGAATCAACCATGGGCAAGGGAGACAGATGGATGAATTGAATCCCAGGGGTGTCCCAGGCAATGTAGACATGAGTTATCTACGAGCCTGGCAAGTTAGGGAAGCTAGTTCCTCTTTTTCCTTTACTACAAGTAGAACAGAACTTCTGGGATGAGCAGGTGCGGGGAGATCATCATCTTCTGACCTTCCATGGGGTACCAGAAATTATCTCCAAGTGAGATTCTGGGAGAGTTCCCAAGTAAACCCAAAGTGAGAGTTTCTAGCACAGGTTTGACTAATAATCTGATCATAGCAAGAAGGAGAAGGGAAGAAACAAAGAAAAAAGAAACAAGAATGAGAAAAGAAAAGGATTGTCCAGACTAGCAGTGAAGGTCTACACTCCCAGCTACTCTGGCAGCTGAAGTAGGAGGATCACTAGTTGAAGGCCTGTTTGCCATAAACAGAGTGAATTCAAAGTAACTCTGGTAACTTGGTGAGACCTTACTTTGAAACAAAAAAGCTGAAAGCGGCTGGATTTAAGTGGCTACCTTCCCCGGCATCCCTAGGACTCTGTGATGTTGCCTAGGATGCAAGAGGCCCTGGATTTAATCCCTGATATTAAAGGAAGAGAAGGGATGGAGTAGGAGGGAAGGAAGGAGAGGAGGATGGAGGGAATGAGGGAAGAAGAGAGACAGACAGACAGAAGGACAAACAGAGAAACAGAGACACTTTAAAAGTTGGCAATGAACCCAGACTTTGACTTTTTGATGCTGTGTATAGCATGTTTTAAGAGAACTTCTTAAACCAGTTAACTGTTAGGAGGCCTATTTCCCAGTACCACTTACAGAACTAGAATTTTCTCCTGAAGTTGTATTGTTCTTTTATTTGTAAAAAGCAAAGCAAAACAAAGCCAATCTAAGAGCAAAGCTGGTGCACTGCAATGTTTGAAGTGGAAATTTCTGATCTCCATCACCCAGTGTGCATTAGCTTAACTGCAGAAAGGGCTTGAGACCACTTGGAAATGAGGAGAACGTGGCTTTCAGGATCCCTGGGAAAAGATGTCCCTCAGCATAAACAATGTGGGCACAAGTTCGGTATTTAGGAAGCAAAGTTAGTCGTGATCTTTGAGGAGGTCTCACCTCCAGTCCACAGCGACTTAAAGGCAAAAGCCACCCGGCCAAGTCCCTCAGAAGATTTCTTGAAATTTCCAGTTCTTCTCTTTCCCATCACAAAACAATGACAACGCTTTCACCCACAAGCCAAGATCGACTCAAGAGACTTTCCCTGACATTTACCTACCCACTAGTCTAGAAAGCCTTTCCCTCAGCTCCAGGACCCAGACAAGGCCTCCTCTCTTGTCTTTCCGTCTTTTCTTTGGCCTTGAGCTCTAACTTTGCTGGGACAATTAAATCACTACTATACACAGCTGGCATATAAATCTCATGGATTAAGAAACCAGAAACTTGCTGAACCTCAAGGGGACTCAGTTTCCCCAATGGCAAAATTATACTAATGGCACTAGCCACCTGCTGGGCTACCAGGGGACTTGTCAACAATGTCTAAAATTACAAAGAGGCCCAGGGCCATAAAAAGAAGTCTTATTAATCAAATTAGTTCAAGACAAATACTAAAAAGAATCCAGCAACAGCAGTGGCAGCTCGTGGTTGGTTAAAACAAAAGGGGGGGGGGTGAATCTTGCTGATCCTCATGTCTACTAACACCATTCCCCTTTACTACAAGAAGAACTTAATTTAAAAATAAGTAAATAGAAGATCACCTCCACACACACAACTTCTCACAACAGACCTCACTTCTTGGCCACTGCTCTAGGGGTAACTTTATAGTTCTCAACTACATACACCCATACATCGTTGAATTCAAACCATGTCCAAATATGACCGCTAATTAAAGTACATGGAAGCTATGTGACTTCTAAGAATAAGATTCAGTCTAGTCTAATTACATGATCATTCCTGTTGTGCTCCAAAAAAACTTCACAGGCACCAGAATGGATCACGCAGCGGGCAGAAGACTACGTACAAGTTGGCCCACATCCTGATCCTCGAGTTTGTAAGAGACAAGGAACACTTAAGAGAATTAAAACCAGATTTCTGCTGATCTGAGGCTCTGATTTTCAGGGACCCAGAGCTTATGAATGAGTTTGATGCCATTTAAAGACCAGAAACGAAACAACGAAATGTGTTCCCCTGCACACAAGTCTGGGCCCCTGTACGCTATTGCATGCCTTATGCCGGCATGCATATCCTAGTTCATGAAGTCTAAAGGACACAGGTTTGTAGCCGGCTCCATAGGTACTTTCCTCAGAGTCAGTGGTGGCTGCCTTACATGAACACAGCAGTTTGTCCTGGGTTTTCTGACCGGTGCTTTCCCACACATTCATCAAAAACGTTTGGGAAAAGATGAGCTAGCTTAACCGGTGCCGAGGTGGGGGTAGAGGCAGCCCAACCATCCTTCAGTTAAGTGCACCCATCAATCCAAAATTGAACAGGGACCATCTTATATTTAGAAACGTGCCTGTCTAGGTTTTCTGAGCATCTCTCGCATCAGATTCAGGGAAGAATCCAACTGAAATGAGCCAGGAGCAGCAGCGGCAGCCTCTGTTGGGATGTTCCATTCATAGGGGAGGCAGCGCCTGGTCCATTCATGGTGGGGTCAGGGAGTTCTTTCCCGGCATTGGATCTCAGCTCCCAGCAAGCTGCGCTTCCCAGAGAGCTGGCACGGCTGCATCGTTCAAAATGAGGATGTCTATTAAGGAGCCACGGTTAGAGCTATTATTAGAACAGCCGTCCCTTGGAAATTCAGCAAAATTTGTCTGAATTGACGGAGCTGTTACTCTGCTAACAAGCAAGGGACCAGAGAAAGGCAGTGCGTGGCTGGTTACACACAGGCAGCCCCCACACCTCTCAATGAGTAGCGCGCTGGGGAGACCTTTCTAAATCCAATGTGCACCAACATCTGGGCAGCTGCCTGCAGTACAAACGCACTGCATTTAGCTATTTTTAAAAGAAGCAGGTACTAACGGGGGTTCCTTCCTGTCCTCCTGTCTTCGGCTCCCATTTTCTCTGCTTTAATCTCTGCAGCCATCTGGGAAGGAAAGGCCGGTCTCATCAGGCTTCAGCAGCTGAGGTTACCCGGCCTCCTGCCACCTTTTCCAAAGGACCAGACACCCTGTCACTTCCAGAAAGAAAAAAAAAAGGCTTAGACCCCCACCCCCAGCTATTATAGAAACCTCCTTTCCTTTCTTCATGGTAAATTCTGAGTGTGGGTTGTGATGCCAAAGGAACGTGTGTGTGTGTGTGTGTGTGTGTGTGTGTGTGTTGTGCGCGCGCGTGTGTAGGGGGAAGGGCTGGTAAAAGATAGCATCGTATTTGCCCCACGTGGGGTTTGCATTTTAAAAATGTAACAGACGCGAAATAAAAGCCTCTAAGGCCCTAGAAAAGAAGTGGCAGGTCCCTGCTGCCCAGTACAGCACTGGAAAATGGGTTCAAAAGTACAGCATCATCAATCGCCCCCCTGCCACCGCGACCGGGAAACAAAGACACGTTACCTTTTATTTTTTGCTCTTCTAAAGGAGCCGAGGAACTTCGGGTTGTAAGAGACTAGTCCACGGAAACCAGCTTCCCATTCGTCCCGGGCGCAGGCCCTTGGCCTACCAGGCGGCCTGGGAGCCCGGCGCCGCCTCCGCCTCCTCCGCGGC